GCAGCACATACTTCTGTTCATTTAACACATGAATTATCTATACAAGATTGACTCTGCTAAATCTTTCTCACCTCAACACACACACAGTTGAGCGTGGTATGTCATCTTACTTTCTGATGAGGTTTTGACACTCATTATTTTTAATGTATTTATCTTAACCGGTGTCAAAGAACATATGATAGTCATTAAACATAAAATATATTAATTCAGATGTTAACCTCCATTTATTTGTCATAACAATTACAGTGTTAACAAAACAAGTAAACTGGGTAAAATTATCCACAGAGTAACAAAATTGAAACTTTATTTGAAGCCATATTAAGACAGGGTCTACTGTAACCCAGGCTAGTCTCAAACTAGGTATGCATCCAAGGATAACTTTCAACTCCTGGTTTCCAATTCTCTTCCAACTTCTGGGCTTATAGTCTTGTGTCAGTATCCCCAGTTTTATATGGTTTTGAGGACTTAGACCTAGGGCATCTTGCATGTTAAGCAAACAGTCTACTAAGTGAACCACATCACTAACTAGATATAAAGGTAATAATTTTATTTCCCATATTCATTTGCTTCTATCACTCATTTTCCCTCCAAACAACCAATTCATATCCTCTCATATATGGTAATTCAGTGAGTAAATTACAATTCTTGTAGAAAATAAGATAATAATTATGTGACAAATGTTCAATATATTTTCATTAGAAATACACGTTGAAGGCTATTTTCTATGATTTAACAACAAATGTCTTCCCTTTTTTATTGGCTTCCAGTATTTCACTGATAAAGATGTGTGTCATTTATTTAATTAGTCTCCTACCAATAGAAACTTAGATCATGCAATCTTTCACTGTTACAAATAATGCTGCATTGAGTAATTCCAGGAAATACATCAATTCACAGGTATGCAATTATCTCTGCAGGATACATTCCTGGAAGTTAAATTACTAGGTCAAAAGACACAAGTACTTGTAATTTTCATAAATACTGCCAAATTGCCTCCACAGAGGTGATGTCATTATAAACGGTAGGAAACACTCAAAAGAAATAAAGAAAATTTATATAATAGAAAAGGAGAAATACTGCTGAGGAATAGGCAGAAAAAGGAATATATTTCTTAATGCCCTGCATGGAGTTCTTGCCAAAATAATGACAGTGCAGATTATTAAACATCACTGGGATGTAAACAGAAAGGAAAAACTCACCGGGCAAGTGGTTCAGTTCCAGAAAACAACATGTAGGAATAACCGGTTGGGGAAGAGAGGAAGATCATTTTAAAGAGATCCCAAAGACATCAACAAAGCTTAACGCCCACATTTTATTTGGAATCCTTTTGAAATAAATTCCAAAAACCATTAGTGGTGATTATGAGAGAGTTGAAGAAGATTAGGAAATATGGAAACTGATACTGTACTTTGAGATCAGAATATTCAATACTATGAAGATGTCAATTTTCCCTATAGTTTGATAGCTAACAAATTTTCAATAAAATAACAAATAACAGAAGTTAATTCTGAAATTTATAAAAGCCAATTAAAATGTAAGCATAACAAAAAATATTCTGGAGAAAAATGATGAATGGGAAATAAAAGGCATCAGAAAAGTGGTTTAAAATACAACTTAATATATGACAGAAATTAGTATTTAAAATTAGTGGGTTAAGATAGATTATTTTGTTAGTGATAACTGATATTTAGATAACAGGATATTTGCCTGGGGGTGTGGTTAAGTTGACAGGATGTTTGCCTAGCATGCAAGACGCCCTAGGTTTGTGACCCCAGCACCACATAAAACTGGGCATGGTTGCATACGCCTGTAGTCCCAACCATTGTGAAGTAGAGGAGAGAAGACCAAGGGTTTAAGGTTATCTGTGGTGATATATTATTTGTGATTTAATAAAGGTTGCCTGAAGTATCAAAATGCAAAATCAGCCACACTAGTTAGCTATAGAAGCTAGATGGTGGTGGTAAACATCTTTAAATCCAGGACTTGGGAGACAGAGACAGACGGATCTCTGTTAGTTCAAGGCCACACTGAGTTACATGAAATTAATCCAGTCTAAAAGAGAAACACTGCACACAAAGGAGATCTGGGCACTTGGGATCCCACTCCTTTAATCACAGGATTTGGAGAGGTATAAAAGGAAGAAGCAAAGGCTCTCATGTGGGAATTAGTCTCCAGTCACACTGAGGAGAGCATAGCAGTCTGGAGATGCAATCTGAGATTAGTGGGTTGCCACTTCAGTCTGAGGTAGAGGTAAGAGCTAGTGGCTGGGTGCTTTGGTTTTCTGATCTTCAGCTTGAAGCTTGAACACCAATATCTGTCTCTAGGTTTTTATTTTTTGTGTTACAGTTATCCTCAGCTATGTGACTAGTTTGAGACTAGCCTGGACTATGTAAGACCCTGTTTTAAAAAGAAACAAACACAACCTCAAAAATGGTAACAGAGGAACACCAATATCTGTCTCTAGGTTTTTATTTTTTGTGTTACAGTTATCCTCAGCTATGTGACTAGTTTGAGACTAGCCTGGACTATGTAAGACCCTGTTTTAAAAAGAAACAAACACAACCTCAAAAATGGTAACAGAGAGTATGCATGTAAAGAGTTTAACGTAATATGTGCTTTTCATCACAAAATAAATTTTAGACATATCAGGTTTTAACAGTAAATGAATAAATATTCTAGGGAAACATCATGGGAATGTCTTTAGGATGCATTATAACTATTTCATGTGTTGATATTGTGATACTTTGAATGTAATTGGCCTCCCATATGCTCATATGGAATGGCACTATTTAGAGATATGGCCTTGTTGGAGTAGGTATGACCTTGTGGATGAAGTGTGTCACTGTGGGAGTGGGCTTTATATTCTCATATATGCCCAAGCTACTCCCAGTGTCTCAGTTTATTTCCTGTTGCCTGCAAGATGTAGAACACTCAGCTCCTTCTCCAGTACCATGTCTGCCTGCATGCATGCTGCCCTGTACCGCTATGACGATAATGGAGGAAACATGTGAAACTATAACTATAACATTTAACTGAGTTAAATGTTTTCCTTTATAAGAGTGGTTGTGCTCATGTGTTTCTACACAGCAATAGGAAACCTAAGACATATTTATTTTCATTTCATATATATGTAAAATATATTTATTGTATATACACACAAATGCATATTCAGTATTGAAATAGAGAAGATCTAGCAATGATCTCAAAGCATTAAGGAAAATAATACTGACTATAACTGAGCTATAATAAAAACATCAGCATAGCACATACCCCCAAATAAAAACGAAAGACAAAAAAGAAAACAGAAAAATCTGGGCCTGGAGAAATGGCTCAGTGGTTAAAGCTCTTGAAGAGGACCTAAGTTCAGATCCCAGAAGCCAATTCAGAGTCTGATGCCTCTGGCCTCCAAGGAAATCTGTATTCATGTGCATATACCCTCATACAGACATGCATCCATGATTTGGTTAGGTTTCTGTCAACTTGACACAAGCTAGAATTATCTGAGAAGCAGAACCTCAAAAGAGAAAATGGTGCCATGAAATTGCCTGTAAGAAAATCTGTAGTTGATTTTCTGAATTAATGATTGATGTGGGATGGCCCAGTTCACGGGGACAGAGCTATCTTTGAAGAGGTAGCTCTGGGAGAGATAAGAAAGCAGGCTGAGCAAGTCATGAGAAGAAAGTCAGTAAGTAGTGAACCGATGTTGAGAATCTTAACTTACTCTAACCAGTATATTCTGGAAAGATGTACGTTATTTATGTCAGATAAAGTCTAAGAGGGATCTAAAATAAAGTCCCAAATATTCAATAGTCTGTCACAGTTGTCTAGAAAACTTAAACATGAAAAATAAGAATGTTTTGGGATGCAGTTAGTTATGATACTTTTGTGATATTAAAGGTATTAAAGCAATATTTACTACATTACCTACTGTTATTAAAAGGAAGATTCTCTGGTCTTCCATATGCCTCAAATGGGAAATATCAAACTTTCTTTGTGATTGCTAAGAAATACTTTTGTAAGTTTATGACAGAACTTGGCAAAAGGCCATATTTTAAAATTCTTTGACTTGCTGTAATTACATTAAGAGAGTGAAATCACATTGCTGTTTGAATCTGCATGGCTTAATAATCTCAACCATTGGCACCATCTGTTGATTGCTGTCCTCTGTAGATGCAAATGTAAGACTTTCCGAGGTGGCTGTTTGTTGTTGTTGTTGTTTACTTCTTTATCATGTATGGCATTGTAAACTCTTTATGTGTATTTTTTTCTCAATAAAACTACAGACAACAAAAAGATCCTCCAGGGATGGGGAAAGTTATTTTAAGTTATTTAAATCCTACTATGAATAGATAGTGAGTATATGATCTCTTTGGGTCATTAATATCACTAATGTGAGGCAAAAGTGTTAGATTAAATGGCTTCTGGGAGAGCATAATTTACTCAGAATGACATTGCTTTACAATGTTTTTATGACCTGTTATTAAAAAGGGAGACAGTAAAGCTATTTCTCTAGATCAGCATTTCTCAGTGGTTTGGCAATTTTGGTGTTGGGATTTCATTAGCAGGTGTTAAAATGCATTTTAGGGATCACATCCTCAATGTCTTGAATCAGAAATTCTACACGTTGAACTCATTTCTCTATATTTTTACATGATATTTCAAGGAATTGATAATAAAAAAAATAAGGCAAGTAGGTAGGACAGCAAATAAACTCCGTCTTGCTGAAACAGTTTTCTGAGAACAATGGGAAGGAGCCATCTGACCACTACTTACAGCAAGTCACCTTATAAGCCAGTTCGTCTATTCCTCTACACCACCACAGCTGTGGTTTTCATACTTCTTCCAGGATAACTCTTGATTTCTATTGCTCTGTAACCTGTAACCTTCATGAGGTCAGAAATAAGCCTGCCTGACTCAGGAATGTCTGAGTATAACAACTTCTGGGCCTGAGTCTATGCTCAGTATTTGCTGAGTAAATGATGTGTATAGAAATTACTTACAAGTGAGCCAGTTGAGACTTGTATACTTGGAATGGACTTTCTGGCACTAGATGGCTTCTAAAAACCAAAAAAAAAGTCAGTTAGGTAAGCATGGGCCACTTACCCTGCAGCTCTCTTTGTGGACACTCAGCCTGCCTGTCAGACTTCTATCCATATTGCTTGTTAAACTCCCAAACCCACAGAAACCTCTATAATGAAACTTAGTTTAAAAGTATAGTTGGACTGTGATAAATACTCCCAAGGAAGTGGATTCAATGAGAGGAGACAGTGAATAAGTAAAAATAATAAGTTGGCATTTTACACACAAAGATGAAGAAGACTTCACCAGATCTCTGAGTTTTAAGGGAGTGCTCCAAGAAGGAAGATAAAGAAGCAAGCTCCAGAATACTAGGACTAAAGGCCTGAATTTACAAGTGCAGCTGCTTAGGAAGCTGTAGGTCATTTGGTACAAAGGCAGAGAGGCTGACACAGACAGAATTGAGAAAGTACACAGAGAAGGGGTGAATGCCTACGTGGTGTATTCAGATGCATGGCCGAGGGAGATTCATTAAGTTGAGCAAAGGCAGCTCTTTTGAGCAGAGAAAAGGCAGATCTAGCTGAAAGAAAGAAAAATTAAGAGGAGAATTACATTGTTTGCACATTTAAGACAGGAAAAATAACTGTCTTATTTCTACTAGTGATGGCCGATGAAAGGAGGACATTGGTTACAGGCATTGCAGGAGTGCTTTCAAGAGCAGAAAATAGGAGAAGAGATAGAGAACAAGCAGACATATTGTCTCTAGATAGGAACACCGATGCTGCACTGGCGGGAACTCGAACAAAGGTGAAGTTCACAGGAACAGAGATATTTGGGTGGGTGCATGGGGTACCAAGAGACCATGGTTTCCCAAGGGATCCTCCAAAGCAAAGTCTTGGAAGAAGTGTTGCCTTAAGAGCATTTTTTCCATTTCTTCACATGTAAGTATGAAACTAAGTGTTTCTGCTTTACCATATGGAATATGTAAAGCAGAGATTCTTGCCAAGGCAGTGTTTTTCATCTTTGGTTAGAAGACAATTAGAAAACATATTGTACAAGTAATGGATTTTACAAAATAAATTAATACAGATTGAAAACCTTCTTCTGTGTTCCCACTTGTGTTGAAAATTTTTCTTTTAAAATCATTTCATGTTCTGAATGTCACCAAGAAATTTAGTAGACTGCTGAGCTGCACCCCAAAAGTGGATTTCCAACAATAATTTAATTGGAAAGGTCTTAACTAAGTTTCACCATATGGGACTGCTAGATGTAATAAATGCAATATAAGTTTAAAGAAGACACTATTGAGGGTGTCATTGCATTTTATAAGCAATGAAGGTTATCATTTTTTCAACAGAGATCACTCTGATGTTAGGAAATTAGCATATTGGTACAACATTCGAGTATGAAGAATAAGAAGTCATGATTGATACTATACTAAATAAAAACATACAGAAGACAAATAATAAAGCTATTATTCACAATCTCTCACTGTCCCACATACATCAAATCTGTAAGGCTGATATGATTGACTATTTTTTCCTTAATAAATTGGAAGATGCAACTGGAAACTGATATAATTGTGGATTTGGTTTGATTAACATTGACTATAAAGGCATTAAATAGAAGACAAAGAATGGTTTAAACAACCAAAATTGGATGCTTCAAGCTTCAAAACTTTTTAAACACAGTTTCCAATGCATCAATGGCTAATCTTAAAAAGAAATCAGTGATCCCAAATACACGAAGTCTATTATCTAAAGGTCTGAAGTCATAGTCAGTGGGAAAATGTCACACCGGGATAAATCATATGAGATTCAGTTTTCTCCTACTCAGGTTAGGTTGCTGTACAAGCAAAGAGCTCATATGCCCTAACTGTACACCAGGAACAGCTGTTTTACAGTGTTAAATCTTGTTCAAATACAGATGTACATGCTACATACCACCAAAGGAATAGCATTCCAAAGCTGATCCAAAACCACCCATCATATAAAGCATAATCATTTGTGATTACCCTCCTAGAATGTGAAATTGCTGAATTTCACTCTAATACCTGCCTAAACTGAAATTTGCTGAATTGTAACGGAGAAAGCACCATAAATATCATTGCTTCAAGTACCCATAATGTTTAAACTCATCATCACTCAAGGTGAATCTCAATATGCATGTGAAAAGCACAAAGGAAAATCAATTCAGGCCATGTTTATTATATGGTGTTTGGTCACATCACTTCAGGGGGGATGTTCCTCTCTAGATATGAACAAGATTTGCATATGTAGTATTATCTCTCACCCTCTTTTGGAGAAAAACACCTAGAATTGTGGAAACCCCTGCCACAAACTCATTTTAAAACCAAGACAGCATGCTTGACCTGGAAGCAACCTATGAGATGTTTGAAAGTTACACCTATTCTTCATAAGTTACACCTTTCCTGTCCTGGTGCCAGAATAAGACAATGATGCTCAGCATTCCAAACTTAGGTTGGCACATTTTCTCCTGACAGGATCCAGTGGCAGCTGCTCCTGTCTTACCAGAGCCATTCCAATCTTGGTCAGACCCAATTGATGGCAGCACACAGAGGAAGAGCTGAGTTCATTCAACTGGACCACAGAGATGTGTGAGCAGCAAGACTAATTGAATATTTTCAGTGAAGCAAAATGTTGCATTTCTAAAACAATCCCAAGATTAAATAAAGTTAGTTTGGAGAAAATAATGCTTATATCCCAAATGTCATCTGTATGTGTCCTGTTCTTGAGGTAAGGACACTAATACTCACAGAGTATTCCAAGAAGGCAATGAGGATTGGGTGCTCCAAGGTCATTGCTGACAGAGTTGCACTTATGATAGAGTTACTTTTGGCAGAGTTACCATTCTTGCTTCAAATAATATTCTTATCCCCTTCTAACTGGCCAATCTTCACTTTTTTCTTTGAAAACTCATCTTATTGAAGGTGACCCTCAACAATTCATATCCTTTTGGTACTTATCATGGTTGCTGCAGTGTTTTGACTAGTAGATTCTAAACAAATATTTGTCAAATGAAGGGGAAGAATAATGGCATTTTGGGAAGATGAAAAAATATGCCAGTATAAATAGTGAGAAAATTATATTAAGAATGAGAAGAAACAGACCCGAATTCTAGCTCCACTGTCAATAACCCATGTCACCTTGAAAATCTTTTACTGGAAACTAGAACTACTTTGTAGTTATGAGAATGAAATAGTTAAAGCCTAGATGTTTCTGAAGTGATAAAAATGGGATCTAACCGATTATCTTCAATTGATGGCCTTCTCCAAATCACTGAAATAGTTGGCATCTACATCTACTGTCAATATGGGCCCTATTCCCCCCTACAACTTTCTCCTTCTTCACCATTGCTTCTTCTGGATGCTGGAGACTGAGTGCAGGGCATCATGTGTATGCTAAGCAGTAAGTGCTCTACTGTTGAGCTGCCCCCTCACTCCTTTATTTGAACTCTTAAACTTTCTTATAAAGCATCATAAAAATATAAAAACCTGGCATGTCTTTTTATTTATTTAAATTATTTCTTGTTAAAGGATGATTTTTTTTTAGCATAGAAAGGAGTCGAAAGAAGTACAGAGTTTCCCCGTTTCTCCAAGCTTGAAAATCTTATAACTAATGCAAATTATCAAAACCAGGAGCCTTTCCATTGGCACATTACAGTTAATTACTCTACCCACTTTATTCCAATTTTACAGGTTTTATGCTCATATATTTTTTCCTGGCTATGGATTCTGTCCAGGATCTAACACTATATTTAGCCCATGCTCTTAGTATTTTCCAATCTATGAAAAGGTTATCTTATGGATTGGCATTTTAAGATTATATAAATGTCCTTTCCTATCAAAATTTTGGCCAGTACTTCTGATATCCATTTATAGCTCATTTCCAAAAAAATAATAACATATTATTTATCAAACTGTGATATTTCTAGTTTTGTTAGTCTATCTATGTTTCCCTATTCCTATTCTACTGCAAGAAATAGGTTTTTCATGTGCTCATAGATGCATTAGTTTTATGTATTTTATTTTACTATATGTGTAATAACACACTGCTATAATTCCTTCTCAAGTTGTCTTAAACTTGGTTTTTGCCTCAATGCCTTGGAAGAAGTCAATCCACCCAAAGAAATGATTGTTTAAAGATGTAGCATGGCACAGTAACTTGGAAATGGAGGCAGGAGGATCAGAAGGCCAAGTGTGGTGGTTTGAAAGAAAACGACCCCTAAAGTCAGTGGCACTATTTGGATGTATGGCCTTGTTGGAGGATGTGTGTCACTGTGGGGGTGGGCTTTGAGGACTCCTTTACTCAAGCTACTTCAGTGAGTTCACTTCCTGTCGCTTGTGGATCAAGATGTAGAACTCTTAGTTTTTTCTCCAGCACCATGTCTGCCTGCATGCTGCCATCTCTCACCATGATAATGGACTAAACCTCTGAAACTGTAAGCCACCCAATTAAATGTTTTCCTTTATGAGAGTTGCTGTTGCTATGGTGTCTCTTCACAGCAATGAAACCCTAAGTAAGACATCCAGCCTGAGCTACATGAGAACCACACCTGAAGAGTGAAAAAAAAAAAATGATGCTGGTAAGTAATGGCCTTTAAACCTAGCACTTTAGAGGCAGAGGCAGGTGAATCTCTATGAGTTCGAGACCAGCCTGATCTACCTAGCAAGCTCCAGGTCAGTCAAGACTACACAGAGAAACCCTGTCTTAGAAAAAAATGACATGGAATGGATTGAAAATTAAACATGTGCTAAAAATGAAACTGTGTTTTCAGGGGACACTGTAGATACAAGGCACTAAATCTAGATACTACAAGTTCCAAATTGAAGAAGAAAAAAAGGCCTCCAGGCACACAGAAGTTTAGAAGAGTGAGCATCACCAATGTTTATACTCTGACTAGAGATTTAGTCATTTAGCATTTGGCAAGGGGGCATTTAGGAACACATATTCTTTTATGTTTACATCAATGTACAGAGCACAGTAAAATGTGTGATGACAACTTTATTGAGACAGAGAGG